ATTTAACTGTGTGGTTATTACAAGAGCTTTTAATTAACCCAGTCATCATACTGTGGCATACAAATTGTGCGTAATAACAGCATGCTGAGTATAATGACAATAGGTTTGTCTGAACTGTGAAAATCAGGAATTTTATCATTTTTTTGGCTTTCCTTTTATGCCTTTAAATATTGTGCAGTATTTAAGAACATTTGACGAAAAGAAAAAAAAAGAAGAAAACCACAAACAACAAACCAAGAGGAGAAAAAGCCCTACTAAGTTGATGAGGCTTGTCTATTTTAAAATTTTATAGCAGTCTTAAAATCTTCCTGAAATTCAGTGAGATGTGCAATTCTCTCCTGAATAATATTTTTGATGATTTTTCAGGGTCTCTTTTCTCAGGGTGTTTTTAGTCCCCTTCGAGAATCATGTTACACATTCTTTTAGGACATTGTTTGAATCCAAGAAAAATGCTCAGTTTGTGAAAACATTCCTGAGGAATACCCTTTCTGTGAAACTGGAAGATAATAAGAATACATTCTCATCAGATAGTGCTGCAGGTTGGTCATTTGTTAGATCATTAGTGTAGTGAGAGCATTCCCCTTCTCTCAAAGTTACGATTCCAGTCTCTCTCAAAACTGGCAGCTGTAGCACTGAATGAATTTTGACTTGGAAGGTTAAATTTACATTAAGCAGCAATGTAGCTAATGGTTATAGTTTTAGTCCTTCAGAAAATGTGGGAAATATAACTAAGTGGTGTTGTCATATGCTCATTCCTGGAGATCTAAAGAATACATAAAAAAAAAAAAAAGCAAAACCCAGACTTAATTATGGGAAGTGTATTTCTCTGTTCAACCCTGTACTGGGAAATGAGATCCTGACAGTTTGCTTTCAAATTATTTGGCTCACAGAGAGAAAAGGCACTGCAGGCAAGATAAGACTATGTGACCTTTACATGTGCACAAGTTTACCGAAGAGACCAGGTGACAGTGAGGACTGGGACAGTGAGGGAGGCAAAAGTACTTTTGGCATGCATATACAGTTAGTCGTTTAAATATGACACAAAAGTGACAGTTACTAGTGAACAGGTAAAAAAAAAAACAGACTGGGTTCGGCTGGATGAGTGACACAAATGTGATCTACTAAACCCAAAATCCAGTACCACACAGAGCCAGTTGATCCAGGGGTTTGAATAGCAGACATAGGAGAAAGAACAGATGATAGTATCAACATTGTACAGGCTAACATAGCTTGTTCTCAGGATGAAGGGAAAGGGGCTCGAGGAGAGGTTTAGATTGGATATTGGAAGAAATTTCTTTACTGAAAGAGTCGTCAAGCATTGGAACAGGCTGCCCAGAGGAGTCATGGAGTCACCATCCCTGAAGGTGTTCAAAAAACATGTGGATATGGGGTTTTGGGACATGGTTTAGTGGTCATGGTAGTGTTGAGTTGATGGTCTTGATGATTTTAGAGGTCTTTCCAACCTTAATGGTTCTATGATCCTGCAGACACCATGTCTGAAGAAATAAGTGACTTTGCTAAAGATTGGTGAGCTAACTTTCATCCATGAGAACTGTTGCTGTCATTAATTGAAATGAGTTCTCATCAGTATTGTTACTGTCATGCACTTCTCAGTGGGAATGGCAGAGGTGTACGTGCTGCTGTACAAACACTTTTTATCATTTAACTAGTGCTGTTTTCAGAATTCTACAAATAGGACTTTTGAAAAAAAGAACCAGTTTTAAAAAGAAATTTCAGATAATGACTGGATTTTTATTGTATTTATATATATGTATAAAGTTTAGCCAAGATTAATTTTTAAGGAAGGTCTAATATTTGAAACTAAGGCTTATTTTAAATGTATCAGTGAATGCAGATTTCCCAGTATTGCACAGCGTATTTCTTGAGACATAAATAGAATAAACAGATAGAAAGGTCATTAGACAGTATTTTGAAGCAACTGTGTAACACATACAAAACATCATCCATATTTCAAGCCAGTATGACTGTAAAAACTATTGATTTTCTTTCTTTGCTCATTTTAGTCAGAATAAAGTATAATGAGATTTTATTGTAAATTCGAGAAGTATGGTTAGCTGTGAATTCTCCTTCCTAGTGGAGATGGATGCATATGGGTTTTTTTCAGTTTACGGTATCTGGAGCCTTTGGGTTTTTTTTTTCCTTTCTTTTTTTCCCCTGACCCGAAGGACTGGGTCTCATTTGCTTAGGGTCTGTATTATCTGGTGAATTATGCCCACTATGTTTCTCCTTCCTTTACAGGCTACCACCCTGCAGTCAATCTCTGAGAGTGCCTGGACAGGTAAGGTGCCTCTTTCAGATATGGAAGGCACCTAAGTCCCTGTAAGGACTTAAAGGTTGCAATAAGGTCTTTACACACCTAACCCATGCCAGTGTCATGAGACAGATCTTCCTTCCCAAACATCTAGGTCTGACTTTTGCTATCTATTAAACTTTTATTTGGGTTAAACTGTTTGGACCCCTTAACATGAGAAGGACCTCTTGGAGCAGGATTAGAAGGCCACAAAAATAGTCGAAGGTCTGGGGCTTCTCTCCTATGAAGAGAGGCTGAGGAAACTGAGGTTGTTCAGCCTGGAGAAGAGAAGGCTTTGGGGAGACCTTATTGCAGCCCTTAGTCCTTAAAGGAACCTTTTAAGAAAGATGGAGGCAATCTTTTCAGCAAGGCCTGTTGCAATAGCACATAGGATAATGGTTTTAAATTAAAAGAGGGTAGATATAGACCGGATATAAGGAAGAAATTTTTTACAGTGAAGGTGGCAAAACACTAGAACAGGTTGCCCAGAGAGGTGGTGGAGGCCCCATCCCTAGAGACATTCAAGCTCAGTCTTGGTGGGGCTCTGAGCAATCTGATCTAGTTGAAGATGTCCCTGCTCACTGCGGGGGGATTGGACTAGATGACTTCTAAAGTTCCCTTCCAAACTAATGCATTCTATGATTTTACTATTTTTATTCTGAATAAAACAAAGAGATATTGGAGAGCGTATGGCAAGCTTGAACTAAGAGGCAACCCAAACCGTCAGTTTCTTTGTCATAAAAGCTGATCATAAGCTTAATGCTTCCCATGTCACATCAGAGAGCATAAGAGAAAGTAAGTGAAGTGAAGGACAAAAGCATTTTTTGCCTCTGGTAGATCTCATTATATTGGTGACAAGTGGCTGATGGGACAGACTGCTGCAGAGGCTGGTGAAATGCATCACTGAAGGAAGACACTCTCACAAGGAGCCTTGGAAGAGTGAGGACACTGACAGGGTGTGCAGTGGGAGTCCAGTTAAGCTGATGCAGAGCATGGGGTAATGTGCTCTGAAGAAGAGCTAATGGGGGGAAATAGTGAAAAAAGTATGTTTGAAACTAAATTTGAAGGGAAGAACAAATGTAGCAAGATGCTTTTGGATAAGAAATCATAAGGTGAATACTTAAAGTGATGTTTCAAGTGTATCCCATTAAGTCTCCTAAAAGTCATTAGTCATATGTCCAGCAGACAACTATCTTACAGGTAAATTCATGCGCCTCATTTGAAGGGGATTCAAACTATGACTTGTATGCTTAATTTGCCATGTGAGTTACAGCTGAAGGGACTATTTATTTACCCTCATATTCAATTCATGAGATGAACACTTTGTCTGTAGTAATAATGCTGATTCTTTCTTCTTTTGACTGGCCTAAGCAATTACATTCAATTAATGTTTTGTTATCACCACTTACACCATATGTAACAACAAAGAAACTTATCATGATATGTTTGTTTTATTTTAAATTTTAAAATTATTTCTTAACTAACACTACAGCTTTTCATAGTTGGAAAGGTGATCCCTAGGATCTGTGCATTTCTCTTTAACATGTGTGACTAACTTGAAAAATGAGATTTATTTGCTTTCTCTGTTCTTACATTTGTGGATATAAAATGCAATAGGAAACAATAATTCCTGTTGTATAACATATGCACCCTTTCCTCTTTCTTATGGCAGGGTTTTGGATATATTTCTGCTTCAAAAACTGCATCACTGTCTCAGAGCCAACAGCGATCTCCTCTTTCAACTTTTATAATTTGACTACCTGTTGAAACCAAGTTTTCATAAATCACAGCATTAGTTTTTCAGTAGTGCATGCATGCTAGCTTATACAAAACATGTGCTGTTCAATCTGTTTAATATTTTGTCTGATGTGATCTCCAGCATGAAGTATCTCTTGTTTAATAAATATGTATGACCCTAATTAATTTTATTTGGTGACTAGGAACAATAGTAAGATATATGAACATGAATTGATTGTAGAAACTATTGTAGAAAATGCTCAGTATCACATTTTGCAAAGAAGAAAATGTGAGTTCATGTGAATTTGCATCTGTTGACACCTAGATCAGAAATCCAGACATATAAAATTCCATGATATTTTCATAATCTATGGTCCGAATCATTAAACCTACATCAGGGATCATTAAATTTACGTCTTGCAGAGTTGTAATTCAAGATTCCAGCATGTTAACTGTTCACAACATGCTCTGGGTAACTGTGCTGAACATGCCATAATAATTCATCAGCCCTGAAAAAAATCATAAAAGTTCAATGCATATAAAAAAAATGTGTTTGGGGCATATTACACAGGAAACGGAAATACGCCACTATTCCCAACACACCATGTTCTCTGGATTACTGTTCCTGTCCACATAACAATACACTTTTCTTACAGGAAGAAAAAAAGCCAAAATCAATGAAATGCCTGTGATGACTTGCTTATACACCTGGTATTCGTTCAAAAGGAGTGATTTTTGGTTTGTTTTTTTTTTTCCCATTATAAAATGGCTATGCATTCATTATGGCTATAGTGTTGAGAAGTATGATAATCAGTGATAGATTTCTTAGCTTAATGTTCACAGAACTTTCTTTCTTATTGAAATGGACTCAAACTAACTTGAGAGATACATAATAATTTTTTTGTTTACATGTATTCTTTCTTTCTTCTTGTGGCTTTTTTCTTCCTTTTAGGTGAACAAGCTATGCGGCCCTCCTGTAAGGAAGCCTTCACAGTCTCCTGGTTGCTTCTTTGATCAGAACAAAGATAATCAAGGGTTCAAGATGTTCCCAAGAGGCAGTGAAGAAACACTTGCCAGCAGAAGAAAGTAAGACATTAGTTTTACAGCCAGAAAGAAAGTATAAAGTAAGCCATTAATTTTACAACAGAACAGATTATATTCAGTGCAGCGGCATGCATTACTAGAGAATAAATAAAGGCTGCAAACAACAAAGCATTTCAGCAACACAATCTGCTCTGATACATTTTGAAAAGAGTAATTTCATAACTAGATTTTGTTTTCTGAAATAATGGACATATGACCAGAGTAGTTTTTGTGGTTTAAAGTGTTTAAAAGAGTGGATAACATTGGTAGAATATGAACATTAGCTCTATCTTTATGTGTAAATTTTCAAATTACATTTAACTTGCACATCAGCAGGCATTATTAAATCTGTCAAAAAGTGATTGTGACTTTTATCAGAAAACTATTTGTACAAATTAGACAGAAAAAAAAATACTGTTCTTGTATCCCTTTCTACTGTAAAAGATGAGACAGCTAAGCATTTGGGGCTGAATCTTGAAATCCTCATTTGAGCAAGCCCAGCTGATGTTTTTCCTCTAGCTCTTTTCACAATATATGGGGAACTGAGGTGGCTGCAAACACTTGGGGATTTGATTTACACCCATCTCAGCATTATAAGATCAAATGTGCCCAACTACCTATGAGCTGCCATTATAGTCTATGGAGAGGAGGACTCAGTTCAGCTGCCCACACCACGACAAGCATCCCGTGCCACTTGAGGATACCCTTGTGTATCCCAACTGATCTGCTGCCAAGAAGGGTGGAGGTGTTCTGTAATTTGTATCACGTATTCCAGCCTTCTGCAGATATCCTGCATAGCCAGGGGCATCTCAAAGGCTTTAGACAAATTAATCAAGTCTTTAATGATCATAAGGATTAATAGCACTGCAAGGACTAAGGGTAGGATTACAGCTGGTAATAAACACCCCATTGTGCAAATAAAGTACAGAGTTAAATCAGAAATTTCATTTCTATCACAGTGTTTGCTAAAACATAGAAAGGTTTTCTTTGTCCTCTTTTTCCTTTTTACTTTGCGGTGCAGAAAGAAACTGAAGTGAGAGAATCGCAGGGAATAATAGCTCACTCCCGTTGTCTGGAGAAGGAAAAGTGCCTTTGAGCTTTAAAGGCAGAATATTCTTGTTAATGCAAGGTGCTTCATGTTCCAAATAATGGAAAAAAAATTTAAAAAACTAAAACAACAAACATAAAACTAAACACAAGATTTAGAGAACGTTGTGGAAATAGAAAGAGATGCAGACCAGAAGTTTGCTTTAGCTGGCACAGAAGTTCATCAGGCAATACCCATTATAGATTTTCTATGTTTTATGTACCTAAGCAAGTTCTGGCTGTTTTCTGATTGCTAGAACTCTGCAAAAAGGGAACCATATTCTAAAATCTCGCTTAATCCAGGGCTGTTCCTTGTTTCAAAGTAAGTGGTGTCTGGATTCGCCTCAGTGTGACTGCCCAAAAGAACCTTCAGGGGCATGAGAGGTGCAGTGGGCAGCACAAAGGAATGTTGTTTTCCCGTGGCTTCCCCTGCCTGAGATGCTGAAAACGCTTCATGGCACACAACAGGTGCTACCCCAAAAAGCCGGGAGAAAGTTTGAGATGTGCTGACACAGATTTCAGTTTAACAGATTCATAACTGGTGCCATTTTCATTTGCTGCCTCCTGCATCACCTCCTTCTTTATTAGTCACGATCACTTTATGTTTCACTTTATATTCCCATGGTAACTGGAACGGTTCATCTCATGAAAGAGCGACTTCAGCAGACGCTTGTAGCCTGCTTTTAAGGAAGTGCTGCTCTCTAACTCCACTTTATTCACCTCCCAGGTACTTCTGGCAGCAAGTTGCTCCCAGCAACTTTTGCTGGGCTTTAACAGAAAAGAATAGGCTCCTCCCAAAACCATGTAGCATTGATCGATGACAGTTATCTGAGGAAAAACAAATGAACAAAAAAATTCCATTAAATGTGTTCCCTGATTTCCTAATATTTTTCAAATGCATCTCCAAAAGAAAGTTTACATTTTAAAGTACGTGATGGACTACCTCTACCTGAATTTTGCCTAAATTATTTTTACCATTAGATCTCAGGTGGTATATTCTAGTACTATGTGGTTCAAGAAGAAAAGGAATTTTCTGTGTGCTTTTGACACCAAAAATTGTCAGATGAATTTTAAAAAATTCTGAACAGAATCTTCCACAGTAACTCGTAAACTTGCAAGTATATAAGGCTTTTTTCCTCCAGAACTTAAAAAAAAAAAAAAAAGAAAAAAAAAGAGAACATTTCCAAATAAACAGATAAGAAGTATCTGCAGCTTCCACTGAGTGTAATTGCACATTTGTGCTCAGCTGCCTATAATTACATGCTATCTGGTCTAGAAGATGATGATGTGAAAATTGACATTCATACCATCTGCCCTTCTAACTACTTTGGTCAGATGTCAACAGGGGCTGAAATCAGTTATTACTACTGTATTAACTTTAGCTTTGCCTCAGGATGTATTTACTAATAAACTGAGTGACCTTTCTGTTCAAATGCAGTTTGTCACAAGATATTATGGCAGCTATATTTATTTCAGTTTATGTGTTATACATGGATTGATTGTGCAGAAGAAATTCCAACTATCTACTATGAGAGGACTCTCTAAGCAGTATTTTTCATCGAGAATGTAAACTCAAAACATAGACAAAATCAAAATGAATCCCACTCAGATGGAAATGGAAGAAAATTGCAAACATACTGTGCACACTGGATACAATTTTGGGGATGGAGAAATACAAGATATGACTATTCATGGCTAAGAGACTGTGGATGAATCATATTTACATATTTAAAATATATTGCTCATAGGCAATTTTATGATGCACAGTTAAAATTGACATGACCTGAGATTTTTGGAACTAAATTTTTAGACTTAGTAGGTCACTCATAGCACATTTAATAATCATAGTAAATCAAAATCATTGTGGTTTGGATAAAATATTTGCCCTACTAATACAAGACAGACAATGTGGCTTTTAAAAGGACATACTGCATATAATCACTCATGTTTTATCTGTTTTAATTTGCAGTCAACAATACTTAATTCCTTGTGCCATTTTAGGCCTACGTTGACTAAATATAGGGAAATGTATGGACTATTTCTGGCATTTTTTCACAGCTCCAGACACCATGCAAGAAGTTAACATAAAGTGAAGCTCGCTGGCTTACAGAGCAATGAGTACAGCATTTGCTGGTGCCTTTCTTTGTGCCTGCAGGTCATAGATAACTCCGTATAGTATGATGTTCTAAACCAGAATGAATAAATATTTTAATTTTTCACAGCAGG